GGGGGACTGGTTTTGGGGTCCCCCCTGGGATTTTGGGGGGTCCCAGGGGTTTGGGGGGGTCTCAGGGGTTTGGGGGGTCCCTAATTTTGGGGTTCACCCCCCCCCAGATGACGGCGTTCGGGGCCTTCCTGCACAAAGGCTCCTTCTGCCGCAACTGGTTCAACCTCCTGGACCTGCTGGTGGTGGGCGTCTCCCTCATCTCCTTCGGCATCCAGTGAGCTGGGGGTTACTGGGAGCACTGGGAGCCACTGGGAGCACCACTGGGGGGACTGGGAGTTACTGGGAGCACCACTGGGGAAACTGGGAGGCACTGGGAGTGTCTCTGGGGAAACTGGGAGGCACTGGGAGCGTCTCTGAGGACACCGAGAGGGCTGCTAAGGGAACTGGGAGGTACTGGGAGGGCCTCTGGGGTAACTGGGAGGCACTGGGAGCGTCTCTGAGGACACCGAGAGGGCTGCTAAGGGAACTGGGAGGTACTGGGAGGGCCTCTGGGGTAACTGGGAGGCACTGGGAGCGTCTCTGAGGACACCGAGAGGGCTGCTAAGGGAACTGGGAGGTACTGGGAGGGCCTCTGGGATAACTGGGAGGCACTGGAAATGTCACTGGGAGCCACTGGGGGGGCACTGGGAGGGCTGCTTGGGAGGTACTGGGAGTGTCTCTGGGGGAACTGGGAGGTACTGGGAGCCACTGGGGAGGCACTGGGAAGGCTGTTGGGTGAACTGGGAGGCCCTCTGGGGGCACTGGGAGTGTCTCTAGGGACACTGGGAGGTACTGGGAGCATCTCTGGGGGAACTGGGAGCCACTGGAAATGTCACTGGGAGCACCACTGGGAGTACTGGGAATGTCTCTAGGAGAACTGGGAGGCACTGGGACAGCTGTTGGGTGAACTGGGAGGCCCTTTGGGGGCACTGGGAGTGTCTCTGGGTGAACTGGGAGGCACTGGGAGCACCACTGGGAACACTGGGAGGCCCACTAGGGGAACTGAGGGGCACTGGGAGCATTTCTGGGGCAACTGGGAGATACTGGGAGCATCTCTGAGGGTACTGGGAGCGCTACGGGGCCCTGGGGAGGGTTACTGGGCGGCACTGGGAGCACTGGTGTCCCCCTTGGCAGCTCCAGCGCCATCTCGGTGGTGAAGATCCTGCGGGTGCTGCGCGTCCTGCGGCCCCTGCGAGCCATCAACCGCGCCAAGGGGCTCAAGGTGCCAAACTGGGAGCACTGGGAGGGACTGGGAAGGGACTGGGGGGGAACTATGGGGCACTGGGGGGGTGGCTGGAGGGTACTGGGGCCCCCCTGTGCGGTGTTACTGGTGTCACTGGGGCCATGGGACTGGGAGCACGGGTGTCCTCGGCACAGTGTCCCCATGTCCCTGTGTCCGGGTGTCCTCCCTGTCCCGGTGTCCCCGTTGTCCCCCCATGTCCTTGATGTCCCCATGTCCTGATGTCCCCGGTGTCACTCTGTCCCTGCTCCCAGCACGTGGTGTCCCCGTGTCCCAGGTACTTGGTGTCCCTGTTGTAGGCCCTGTGTCTCAATGTCCCCAGTGTCCCCATGTCCCTGTTGTCCCCATGTCCCTGTTTCTGGGTGTCCCCATTTCTGGGTGTCTTTGTTGTCCCCAATGTCCCCGTGTCCCTGATGTGAGGGTGTCCCCGTGTCCCTCTGTCCCCAGTACTTGATGTCTTGGTTGTCCCCCTATGTCCCCATGTCCCTGTTGTCCCCACAGTGTCCCCGGTGTCATCCCTGTGTCCCCAGCACGTGGTGTCCCCCAGTGTCCCAGTGTCCCTGATGTGAAGGTGTCCCCCTGATGTCCCCAGTGTCACCCATGTCCCCAGCACGTGGTGTCCCTGTTGTCCCCATGTCCCTGTTGTCCCCTGATTTCTCCGTGTCCCTGATGTGAGGATGTCCCTGTTGTCCCCCAATGTCCCCGTGTCCCCCATACGAGGGTGTCCCTGTTGTCCCCCCAATGTCCCCCCGCTGTCCCCATGTCCCCAGCACGTGGCGCCCCCATGTCCCAGTGTCCCTCTGTCCCCAGTACTTGGTGTCTTGGTTGTCCCCCTATGACCCCAATGTCCCCACATCCCTGATATGAGGGTGACCCTGTTGTCCCCTTGATGTCCCCAATGTCACCCCTATATCCCCATGTCCCCAACACATGGTGTCTCTGTTGTCCCCCCAATGTCCCCAGTGTCACCCTGTCCCAGTGTCCCTCTGTCCCCAGTACTTGATGTCTTGGTTGGCCTCCTATGTCCCCTATGTCCCCATGTCCCTGTTGTCCCCACAATGTCCCCAGTGTCACCCCTGTGTCCCCAGTACGTGGTGTCCCCATTGTCCCCCAATGTCCCCACGTCCCTGATGTGAAGGTGTCCCTGTTGTCCCCCAAATATCCCCAGTGTCACCCTGTCCCAGTGTCCCTCTGTCCCCAGTACTTGATGTCTCGGTTGTCCCCCTATGTCCCCGATATGAGGGTGACCCTGTTGTCCCCCTATGTCCCCATGTCCCTGTTGTCCCCACAGTGTCCCCGGTGTCATCCCTGTGTCCCCAGCACGTGGTGTCCCCCAGTGTCCCAGTGTCCCTGATGTGAAGGTGTCCCCCTGATGTCCCCAGTGTCACCCATGTCCCCAGCATTTGGTGTCCCTGTTGTCCCCATGTCCCTGTTGTCCCCTGATTTCTCCGTGTCCCTGATGTGAGGATGTCCCTGTTGTCCCCCCAATGTCCCCCCGCTGTCCCCACGTCCCCAGCACGTGGTGTCCCCATGTCCCAGTGTCCCTCTGTCCCCAGTACTTGGTGTCTCTGTTGTCCCCCAATGTCCCCGTGTCCCTGATATGAGGGTGTCCCTGTGTCCCCCAATGTCCCCGTGTCCCCCATACGAGGGTGTCCCTGTGGCCCCCAATGTCCCCGTGTCCCCCATACGAGGGTGTCCCTGTGTCCCCCAATGTCCCCGTGTCCCCCATACGAGGGTGTCCTTGTGTCCCCCAATGTCCCCGTGTCCCCCATACGCGGGTGTCCCTGTGTCCCCCAATGTCCCCGTGTCCCCCATACGAGGGTGTCCCTGTGTCCCCCAATGTCCCCGTGTCCCCCATACGAGGGTGTCCCTGATGTCCCCAATGTCCCCGTGTCCCCCATACGAGGGTGTCCCTGTTGTCCCCCCAATGTCCCCGTGTCCCCCATACGAGGGTGTCCCTGATGTCCCCAACGTCACCCCGCTGTCCCCAGCACGTGGTGCAGTGCGTCTTCGTGGCCATCCGCACCATCGGCAACATCATGATCGTCACCACGCTGCTGCAGTTCATGTTCGCCTGCATCGGGGTGCAGCTCTTCAAGGTGGGGGGGTCCCCAAAAATCCTTGGGGGGCGTCCCCAAAACCCCTCAGGGTCCCCAAATCCCCCCAGGGGTCCCCAAATCCCCCCCAGGGGTCCCCAAAATCCCCCCGGGGGGCACTGACACCTCCCCTTCCCCCAGGGCAAGTTCTACAGCTGCACCGACGAGGCCAAGCACATGCCTGAGGAGTGCAAGTGAGTGTGAGTGTGAGTGGGGGCTGAGTGTGAGCGTACCCTGAGTGCGAGTAGATGTGTGAGTGGAGGCTGTGAGTGTGTCTTAAATCGAAACGTGGGTAGGCTGAGTGTGAGTTTAGGTGGAGGGTGAGTATAGATGTGAGTGTAGGCTGAGTGTGATCTCAGAATGATGAGCTTGAGTGTGAGTGCAGCGTGAGTGTAGGCTGAGTATTGATGGGGTGTGAGTGTAGACGTGAGTGCAGCTTGAGTGTGTAGTGAGTGTAGATTCAGTGTGTAGAGTGAGTGTAGGCTGAGTGTGAGTGAAGGCAGGTTGTGAGCACAGCTGGAGCTTGAATGTGAGTGCAGGCTGAGCACAGATTGAGTGTGAGTGTAGCTTGATTAGATGTGTGTAGTGTGAGTGTAGATGTGAGTGTGGGCTGAGAGTGTGAGTGTAGCTTGAGTGACCAGATGTGTGTAGTGTGAGTGTAGATGTGAGTGTGGGCTGAGCGTGAGTGTAGCTTAAATCTAAGTGTGAGTGTAGGGTGAATGTATGAGTGTGGGCTGAGTGTGAGTGTAAGCTCAGTATGATGAGGTTGAGTGTGAGTATCTTGAATCTAAGTGTGAGTAGGCTGAATGTGAGTTGAGGTGTAGTGTGAGTGTAGGCTGAGTGTGAGCTCAGTATGACAAACTTGAGTGTGAGTGTAGGTCGAGTGTGAGCATGGAGTGAGTGTACCTTACACGTGTGAGCTTAGTGTGAGCGCGGACTTGAGTGTAGAAGTGAGTGCAGGGTGTGTGTACATGCAGTCACAGGCTGTTCCTTGAGTGCGAGTGCACACCGAGTGTGAGTGGAGGCTGTACCTGCATCTGTGTGTGAGTCCCCTTCCCCAGGGGCACATTCCTGGTGTCCAAGGACGGTGACGTCCTGGGTGTGTGTCCCCCATGGTGACACCGTGTGTGTCACCCCCCCAGGGGCACCTTCCTGGTGTCCAAGATGAGGGACGTCCCATGTGTGTCCCCCATGGTGACACCGTGTGTCACCCCTCCATGACACCTTGTACCCCCTCGGTGGTGCTGTGTGTCCCCCAGGGGCACCTTCGGGGTGCACAAGGACGATGACGTCCCTTGTGTGTCCCCCTTGGTGTCACCGTGTGTGTCACCCCCCAGGGGCACCTTCCTGGTGTCCAAGGATGGTGACGTCCCGTGTGTGTCCCCCATGGTGTCACCGTGTGTGTCACCCCCCAGGGGCACCTTCCTGGTGTCCAAGATGAGGGATGTCCCATATATGTCCCCCCATGGTGACACCGTGTGTGTCACCCCCCAGGGGCACCTTCCTGGTACACAAGGATGGTGACATCCCACGTGTCCCCCCCCATGGTGTCACCGTGTGTGTCACCCCCCCCTCCAGGGGCACCTTCCTGGTGTCCAAGATGAGGGATGTCCCATATATGTCCCCCCATGGTGACACCGTGTGTGTCACCCCCCAGGGGCACCTTCCTGGTGTCCAAGGACGGTGATGTCCCATGTGTGTCCCCCCATGGTGACACCGTGTGTGTCACCCCTCCATGACACCTTGTACCCCCTCGGTGGTGCTGTGTGTCCCCCAGGGGCACCTTCCTGGTGTCCAAGGACGGTGATGTCCCGTGTGTGTCCCCCATGGTGTCACTGTGGGTGTACCCCCCCAGGGGCCTCCCCCCAGGGGCACCTTCCTGGTGTCCAAGGATGGTGACGTCCCGTGTGTGTCCCCCATGGTGTCACCGTGTGTGTGTCCCCTTCCCCAGGGGCACCTTCCTGGTGTCCAAGATGAGGGATGTCCCATATATGTCCCCCCATGGTGACACCGTGTGTGTCACCCCCCAGGGGCACCTTCCTGGTGTACAAGGACGGTGACGTCTCCCACCCCTCCGTGCGCGAGCGCGTGTGGCGCAACAGCGACTTCAACTTCGACAACGTCCTGGCGGGGATGATGGCGCTTTTCACCGTCTCCACCTTCGAGGGGTGGCCCGCGTGAGTCCCCCGTGTCCCCGGGCAGGGAGAGGGCTGGGGGTGACACCAACACCACCGCCCCACAAACTGCGCCGTCACCCACCTCAGGTTGTTGTACAAGGCCATCGACGCCAACGCCGAGGACCAGGGGCCCATCTACAACTACCGGGTGGAGATCTCCATCTTCTTCATCGTCTACATCATCGTCATCGCCTTCTTCATGATGAACATCTTCGTCGGCTTCGTCATCATCACCTTCCGGGCGCAGGGCGAGAGCGAGTACCGCAACTGCGAGCTGGACAAGAACCAGGTGGTTGTCACCTCCTCGGGGTGGGGGTGGCGGTGGCGGGGGTGTCACGGCAGCGCGGTGACGGTTGTATCTCCCGCGTAGCGGCAGTGCGTGGAGTACGCCTTGAAGGCGCAGCCGTTGCGGAGGTACATCCCCAAAAACCGCAGCCAGCACCGCGTCTGGGCCATGGTCAACTCCACCGCCTTCGAGTACATCATGTTCGTCCTCATCCTCCTCAACACCATCGCGCTGGCCGTGCAGGTGGGTGGTGGGGGATGATTGGGGACAATTTGGGGGACATCGGGGACAGCGGAGGACGTTGTTTGTCCCCCCTCGAAGCACTACGAGCAGTCCAAGCCCTTCAACTACGTCATGGATCTCCTCAACATGGTGTTCACCGGGCTCTTCACCGTCGAGATGGTGCTGAAGATCATCGCCTTCAAACCGCGGGTACGGCGCCGCACGTTTTTTGGGCGTTGTGACACACGAGGGGGTGTTGTGACACACAAGGGGGTGTCACATCGCACAAGGGGGTGTCCTCAATGTGTCACCTCACCCCAAAACTCCAGCACTACTTCTGCGACGCCTGGAACACCTTCGACGCCCTCATCGTGGTGGGCAGCGTGGTGGACATCGCCGTCACCGAGGTCAACGTGAGTCGTGTGTGTCTCCCCCCCCCGTCTTTTGTCATCCTGGAGGGGGTCCTCTCGATCCTATGGGGGAAGGGTCCTGGAGCTTTTTGGGGTCCTGGAAGGTTTCGGGGGGGACATTTTTCCCCCTACACCATGTCCTTGTGTCCATCTCCATCCGTCTCCATCTCATCTCCATCGGTGGTTCCTGCGCGTGACAGAACGGGGGCCACGTCGGTGAGGTACGGGGGGGGTGTCACCACCCTGGGGGAGGTCGTAGGGGTTTTGGGGTGCCCCCCTGACCCCCCCCTTGCTGTGTGACCCCCCCCCT